ACTGTTACTGTTTTTATTGTGTTATTCATTGTCCAATTGTTGTTTTAACCTGTAATGTGATTTAATAATTTTTTTAAGGAGGGAGAGGAATATACTATTTTATTTGGTATGATGTTTGAATGTTGTTAACTGCCTTGATTGGGTTACCAAAGGGCGGTATATAAATAAATATACATAATTTAGCAGAATTTGGGACAAGTTAACTTTTTTGTCCTTCTTGCTTGCTCTCAGGTCAGCTTCAGCTTATGGCAACCTTATGGATGAGAGACCTCCCAGACCCCTGGCTATCAACCTGTCTGGCTCAGGTCTTGCAAATATAGGGCCGCCGTGGCCTCCTTGATTGAATCAATCCACCTGGAATGAAATCCTTCCTCTTTTTAAAATTGCTTCCCCTTTACGAAGCACTATCTTCTTTTGAGTCATGATACATTCAAGCATGATATGTTCAAACAAAGTACAGCAACCTCGGTTTAATCGTTTTGGCTCCTAGGGAGCTCTCAGGTCTGATTTGTTCCAAGATATGTTTGTTTGTCTTTTGGGCAAATCGTGGTGGTAGAACTCTCCTCTACCACCACATTTCAAATACGTTGATCTTCTTTCTGTCGGCTTTCCCTACTGAATCCCCAAGCCAATGTTGAAGGATGCTGGGAGTTGTCACCCCCAAAAGATCATTTTTTTCCAAACTCTGATCAGAAGTGGCCAGTTGGACATGTGTCCAGTTATACATTCTCATTTTCTCTCGCCTCCAATTTTTATTCAATGATTTTTATTTTGCATTTCAAGAGAAAAGAAGAAGAATATGAGGAGGAGGAGGAAATAATGTATAGATATATACATTAATATATATATAAATTATATATATATAATTATAAATATATATAAATTAATATATAAAGATATATACTTAATATATCTGTATGGAAATTGTAATGTAAGCCACCCCGATTGCTCTGCAGAGGGGCAGGATATAAATTATTATTATTATTATTATTATTATTATTATTATTATTATTATTATTATTATTATTAGATGCATATACAAACAAAAATAAAAAGAGTATATTATTATTATTATTATTATTATTATTATTATTATTATTATTATTATTATTATTATTATTATTATTATTATTATTATTATTATATTCTGCCTTTCTCCAATATAGGGACTCAAGATGGCAAATACCAATAAACCTTTAGGATGGCATAGCATGGTATGAAGCGGTATATAAATGAAACTGCTATTGCTATAGCTAAAACAGCACAATTTAAAAACAATACAAAAGTATTCAGATGTATAAATGTAACAATAAAAAACCAATTTTAAAATATATGGTGCATAGAATTTGGACTAAATTCGGCAACATACCTAAAGTGTAAGTTTCACATGTTATTGCACACCACCCGTAATTTTCATTACTGTAGATTCAAATGCTTAAGCATTAATAATAATAATAATAATAATAATAATAATAATAATAATAATGTATTAAACACTCTATGCAAATCTTGCACAATTTTGATTTATAAAATTGTTCCTCCCCACCTTCCCCCCTTTTCCTATTAAAAGGATTTCTGTCTTCTCTCTAAATATGACTTTAAATGACCTTAAAGGATCACCGATCTACACCTTGAATCCTCATCCCACTTTTTTGCTAATCAAAGATGATTATTATCTATCATGTACCTTTCTTTTATATACATCAATTATATTTTGCTTCTTTTTTTTAAAAAAAAATTAAATATATGTATATTGAATAGTGTTTCCCGTTGTTATTGTGTGCCTTCCGGTTATTTCCAGCTCATTCCTATGTAAATGTTTTTTAACACAAGGGAACAGCAGAAGGGAACACTATTTTGTTCCTGTGGTCATGATGTAATTTCAGTTTAATTACATCTTCGCATGGCACCTAGTAATCATGTCGTAATTAAACTGCGGATTTCACTCCCACAAGACGTCGAGATGGCCACCGACATGGGCAGTTTGAAAAGGGGATTAGACACATTTATGAGCTGTAAAGCTATGAATGGTTATGATATATGACAGACTCAATCCAACTATTAGTTCCAACAAGGGGGCACCCATTGACTCAATGGGATTTGGTAAGCTCACACTTACACAAGTCCCTTTGATGGAGCGGAGCTACTCTAGTTAGGACCGTCAAAGAAATTTAGCTCAGTGTTATTTATTATCATCCTGATTTTCAGCATTAAGCAAATTACAGAATTAAAAGCAGGGTTGGTAAATAATTTTTGCTCTCTTTCGGTCTAACTTCAGGATGGGAGGAGAGTTGTGTAAAATGATGGTAGAAAAGGAAAGACAAATGTTAGTTGTAATTAATGATGGAATGCAAGACAGACATACCATGCAAGATCTGCATTTTCTGCTGATTTATAAAATCAATGCAACTATTTCCAATAGTGAACTAGTGTGCCAATTGCTGAATGAATTTCCATGGAGATTTCAGCAGGGTTTTTGTTTTTGTTTTTGGAACATGCTCTCAGCAACTGCTTGGCAAAGGTATACTGCCTTTGATAATGGAGGTTCTTAGCCCTTGCTAAGCTTTATAGTTAGCTTATATCCATCCCCTTCATCCTAGGGATCCTATGGAGACTTTAATCTGCCTGGAATGAACTCTGATATTTCTGAACACCCGGGTCTAAGTCTGCACTACAGGAATAAAGCAGTTTGACACTGCTTTAACTGCCATGGGTCAGTGCTATGGAATTTAGGATTTGCATTTTGTTGTGGCACCGGAGCTTTCTGACAAAGAAGGCTAAATATCTCATAAAACTACAAATCCCAGAATTTCAGAGCATTCATCCAAGGCAGTTAAAGTGGTGTCAAACTGCTTTATTTCTGCAGTGCAGACGCAACCCAAGTCTACAAAAGCCTATACTACAACTTCTTTTGCACAGTTCTCATAGGTGCTGCAAGATCTCTTTGCATATTGATATTCCAGACTAACACAGCTGTATCTCTAAATTCTGTTCATGGCATGTTACCCATCAAGAGGCTCCAAAAACTAGTTGGAAGAGGAAAGTTTTCATTTGCCAATGAAAGGACACCAAGCAGGGATTCTTCCAAAGCTCTCCAGGGAAGGAGCTCCAGAGCGATCACTGAGAAGGCCTTCTCCCATGGTCCTCCCAAATGTACCCAGGAAAGTGGAGGGACAAATAAAGGGCATCTCCCAAAGATCTTAGAGCCGGTCATATACAAAAAGTAGGGAGGCTGATATAGTAAGGTAGCCTGAAACCAAGCCTTGTAAGATTTTATAGGTCATAAAATCTTGAATTAGGCCAGGAACTAGACTGGCAGAGAGGCTGCAACAATGCTCCTGGTAGCCAGGCCCAGTTAGCAATCTGCATGCAATTCTTTGCACCAGCTGAAATGTCTGAGCACTTAGCAAAGGCAGTCCAACACAGAGTGCATTACAGCAATACAAAGAGGATGGACTCAAGGCATATGGTAGCATGACCAGATCTGACATCTCCACAAATGGATACATCTGATGCACTAGATTTAAATGCGCTAATGCACATCTGGCCACTGCAGAAACCTGGATTTCCAGTCTCAGTGTTGAATCCAAGAGTATACCCATATTATAAACTGGAGGTTTCTAGCAGAGTGTAACCCCATCTGAATTCCTATTCCCTGATCTGCTTTTGTTTTGTCTGGAGTAAACTTCAATTTGTCCTTATCCAACCCATTACTGATGACAGAAACCAAAACAGCATCTTTTTATTTTATATTATTATTATTATTATTATTATTATTATTATTATTATTATTATTATTATCATCATCATCATCATCATCATCATCATCATCATCATCTTTGGAATTTGATGGAAAGGAGAAATAAAGTTGAATGTCAGCCACCTACTGCTGATTCCCAGTTCTGGACCACCTCTCTGAGTAGCTTCATGTATATTTTAAAACAGACTTTTTGTCTGAATGCCTGCAGCTGCTGAGATTCTGGGAACTCAGGCTTATAGGTCCAAAGTTTGTGTAGAGCCAGTTTTTATTCTTGTTAAAGATTTATCCCTTCCTCTAACACATCTTCAAACATAAGATCCTGGATCTCTCTGGACCTTTTGTTTGGATTGGTCTTTACTTGAATATCTGTTCTCCACTGAGATCCTACTCACCTAAACTCCTGGTCTGCCCTGACCTTCCTTCCAAAATTCACCCAGACTCAGGACTCTACTTCTTATTCTCCCCAAGTGGTCTAAAACTCAAGTTGATATGGGCCTGGAAAATCCATCCCATTCAAGACTACCTGGAGTTGGGTATCAGGCATTGTTGTTGTGTGCCTTCAAGTCATTTCTGACATATGGCAAGATTTGTTCAAATCATGTTTGCCTCGGGAAAATGGGCTGGGAAAGTGTCCAAGGTCACCTATGGCCAAGTGGAGATTCGAACCCTGGTCTTCAGAGTTGTAGTCCAACGCTCAAACCACTACACTACGCTGGCTCTCTTAGGCATATGTGTGTGTGTGTGGCTTCATGTTGCCTGCCGACGTATGGTGTCCCCATGATTTTCATAGGTTTTTCTTGGGCAAGGAATAGCCAGGAATGGTTTTGCTAGTTCCTTCCTCTGAAATTTCACCTACAGCATTTGGTATTTGTTGGCCGTTTCCCATCCAAGTACTAACTAGGGTTGACCCTACCCCAGATGCAAGATCAGACAGGATCTAGTGTCTTTAGGGTATTTAGCATACCTTGGTTAAAAAAAAGAGCAAACCATAGGTTATTGACTTAATGGCTTTTGGGTTGAACCTGGGGTGGCATGGGGAGCATTGTCCTTTGTCATTTCAAAAGGAAGTGCCACTTAAAGCGGATGGCTGTGACTATAATGAGAAATCACACCATTGTGTTAAGTACAATGGGAAAAGTGGATGTGTGGCATTGTGTATTGACTGAGGTGCTAAATGGGTGGGAGGGCTTCTGTTTCACCTGCCTGGGTTAGACTTCTAAGACCAGATTATGATTTGATTCAAATACACATGACTTCTTAGCTCTCCTTGCAGCTCCGCACCACTTCTCCTCTGCATAGTATTTCCAACATAAGACAAGGATTTCCCCTTAAAGTGATTGAAAGACATCTGTATTTTATCAGTGTATTTCTAATAACTGTTTCTCAACTTTTAAAAAAACAAAAAACAGTGCCAGACTAAATCCAAGTGACTTTCAATGGGATAGATAAATTATGCCTTTTAGTGTTTTTTTTAAAAAAAACTTGACATTTTTTAACATGTTGGAGAGATGATTGAGGAATTTTAATTAAGTAAATTAATTAACTCCATGAGGGTATGCTTTGCTGTTAGGCTGAAGCATTGCTATGGTTATTGCTACGATAATAGAAGCTTGGGAGGTAGCTAAGGTGGCCCTATCATAGGGTTTTCTTGGCAAGAAACCTTTAGGGAGGTTTGCCACAGCTTACACCTGAGACTGACTTGCCCAGGGAGTGGGGATTTGAACCCTGGTCTCCCAGAGTCCTGGTTCAACACTCAAACTACTACACAACACTGGCTCTCCAGTAGTAGTGCTGTTGTTGTGTGCCTTCAAGTCGTTTCTGACTTATGATGACCTTAAGTAGAACCTATCAGGGTTTTCTTCACCAGATTTGTTCTGGTCTGAGGCTGAGACAATGTGACTTGCCCAAGATCACCCAGTGGGTTTCCATGGACAAGCAGGGATTTGAATCCTGGTTTCCAAAGTTGTAGTCCAATGCACAAATGGCAGGCCAGTCACTTTCTACCAATCCAAGCTACATGCCAGAATTGTTATGTAGAGAGAAAAAGTGGAGATTGTGTGTCACCAGAGGGCCAGATTTTGCCCATCTCTGCCCTGAAGAGACCATTAAAGGACAAATATTTGTCTCACCTTAACTTTACAGAGGCCTTGGCTACTGCCACACTGCAGAATTAATCTATCTTGACACCACTTTAACTGTAATGGCTCCATCCTATGGAATCCTGGGATTTGTCATTTGTAGAGCTCTCTGGCTCCAAAGGCTAAACATCTCCCAAAACTACAAATCCTAAAGTTCCATAGCAGTGAGTTAAAGCAAAGTCAAACTGCATTAATTCTGCAGAGCAGACTCAACCTTCGTTGCTACATCTTCTGCTCCTCAAAGGACCATGAAATGAAATAAAGAAATTGCTCCTCAAATGAAATCAATAAATAATAATAAACGGTGATATGTTTAATTGATAATAATTTTTGGGGGGGGGAGATTCTTCTCTGCCAGTGGTGGATGAAATCAATGCATAATGGGAGCAAGATCAAGCAACTGGCTCTGGTTTTATAGATCTTCCAACTTCAGGGGGACCTTCTGATGATAAATCACACAAAGAATCATTTCCTGGTTAGTGTGATCATCGTCCAGCAACAGACACCTTGGCAGATGTGGAACCAGCAGATGTTAGAACCTTCCCCAGCAACAAAAGAGAACAATCTAAAATCCACTGGAAAAGCTCTGTATGTCTTCCATAAAGCACTGTGTGAGGCAGGATTTTGGGGGAGTGCTGGACTTCATTCAGGAAGAGCTAAGACAAGGGTGGGGAATGTGATGGGAGTTGCAGTCCAACAACTTTTGGAAAGCCACATGTTCTTGGAGTAAGAACAGGGTGCAAATGTAATTAACAACAGGCTACAAGAACTGAGCTTGGTAGGAACAAGTTACAAACAAGGCAACTATAACTACTTAAAGTCTAGGGGAAGGGTATTAACAAGGGAGTAAAGAGCCAGCATGGTGTAGTGGTTTGAGTGTTGGATTATGACTCTGGAGACCAGGGTTCATATCCCCACAAAAATCCACTGAATGACTTTGGGCAAGGTACACTCTCTCAGCCTCAGAGAATGACAATGGCAAACCCTCTCTGAAGAAACTTGGCAAGAAAACCCTATGATAGGTTCACCTTAGCATTGCCATAAGTCCAATATGACTTGAAGGCACCCAACATACACTATGAAGCCATGCTTTAAAAAAAAAAAAAAGCCAAGATCCTTTATTGCTATAGCAATTAACGGTTCCTAGTTACTTCCAAAAGTAAGCTTTTAAGGGCTCCTTATGCATCTGTTCGGAGGAATTTTTCCAAGTTTTCTCTCATGCTGTAGATACATTTTTTCCTCCCTCAAAAAGGTTACAGAAAGTGATGGGGAAGTAAACAGCAGTGTAACAACTAATGTGACAAGTTACTGTGCTTGTTTTCATCAAGGTAATGAAAACTAGTGACTGGTTACTTTTCAAACACTGTAACAGTTAGCGGAACAAATGATTTTTTTTCCAGATTCTGGGCAAGAGCAGATACTGTGCTTATTGGTGTCTCCTACTTTCCAGACCTTGGTTGCATTTGCTCTAAATGGGGCAGTTCTACCATTAGACATTTCAGACAGGGAAATAGCAAGATTGTGGAGGACAAAACCCTGTGTCTTGTGCAACCTGCTTTGCAACCTTGTAAACTAGTCTGCTGTGCTCAGAAACAGTGGAAGAGGCTATCCTTTTACTAGCATGAACAATTCAACTGGGGCTTGAGTGGCTTTTGACCCTCAGAATGGGAAGAGGTGACATCTTGTCTTTTGTTTGAAGAAGCAAAATGTATTTGATCTGCCCTGATTAACCTGGAGGTAAATTTAGTAGTAGATCTTCTTTTAGGAGCTCATCATAAATCTCCTTGTACTGGATGGATCCTCTCTTCCAGGCAAGGCTTTGGATGCAAAATTGTGGAATGCATGCTTATTGCAGTCACTTTTCCCTCCTCTGTATGAATGTCTTAATTCAAACCTGGAGGCATGATGCAAACAGCTCCATGATATTAGTGAAGCCAAGCAATTAAGGGTAAGGAGAAACCACTTCAAACGCCTCAATAAAATGGGGAGGAGGGAGGAAATACCAAGGTGAAAAAGTTCAGAACTACAAGAAATTCACCCTTTCTTAATGATACAGCTCTTTTCCTTCTGTACTTCTCCACTCTCTTCTTTCCCACTTTCCTTCTCACTTGCACATTCCCCATGTATGTGTGTATGCTGTGTGCCTTCAAGTCATTTCCAACTCATGGTGACCCTAAGGCAAACCTATTATAGGGTTTTCTTGGCAAGGTTTGTCCAGAGGAAGTTTGCCATTGCCTTCCAACATTTCATTGAGACACATCTGGACAAGCAACATGGGGGGGGGGGGGGGGAGTCAATATAACAAACCTTATTAAACAGGAGAGGTGGCAGCAGTTTGCTTTTGCCTGAGCCTACAGGGAAGGGAAAGATTCTGTCCTCTCCTCCCTCCACAGCTGAGTATATTGAATGCAAACCGTGTTTTCAGTTAGAACTCAGTTTGCAGCAAGAGAAAAGGATAAGTGGGGGAAAGAGAGGGAATCTGGAACATTTTAGAAGCAGGTGAAAAAGTGGATGGGTGGCTGTCCCTGCCAAATTGGTACAGATGGCAGATATGATTCCTCACCCCAGTTCCTTCTTTCCTCTTTGTTCTCCTGCATCCTACTGATTGACTGTCCTTTTGGATGTTCAGAACAGTTCAGTCAGTGGCAACCAAAGATTCTCTGGAGCAGCCAATGGTAGTCAGAGAGGACCTTCTGAAATAGCAAGGCAGCTGTGCCCCAGAATGTTACTAGGAAAAAATATGAGGCCCTCCAGATATTGGTAGACTGCAATTCCTGTGCTGGCCAGGGTTCCTGGGAGTCGCAGTCCAACCACATCTCGGGGAGCCTCACATTGCTGATTTGTGGATCACAATATTGTTGCTCTCATCATCGGTGTTGTCATTGTGTACTCTCAATTTATGGCATCCCTAAGGCTAACTTTTTACAGGGGTTTCTTAGCAAGATTTGTTCAGGTTTGCCTTTGCCTTTCTCTGAGGCTGAGAGAGTGTGACTTGCCTGAGGTTTCTCAGTAGGTTTCCATGGCTGAACAGGGATTCAAATGCCTGTCTCCAGAGTTGTAGTCCAACACTCAAACCATTGCACCTTGCTGGCTCCTGGATCATAATACATACCTTCTAGAGATCAAAACTAGGGCACATGTAGCCAAACAATATCCAAGTGTGGTCAAGATGGCAAAAATTAATAATGAGGGAGAAATTCAAGTTAGGAGAGGCTGCAGCAGTTTGAATTTGCCTGAGCCTACTGGGAAGAGCAAGATACTCTCTGTTCCTGTCCTCTCATCACAGCGAGGTAATTGAGTGCAAACTACTTTTGCATTTTGAGCTCAGTTTTCAGCAATTGGAGTAAGCTGAGGACAAAAGGAGGAAAGGAGGAGGGAGGAGGACAGAGAAAATGAGACATTTTAAAAGCAGCTGAAAAAGTGGGATGGTAGAGGATTAATTGGGATTGTTTCTGTCAAACTGGGACAGTTGGAGGGCACTGACAATACTATGATACTCGTATATTCCTTCTACTCCTTTTCCCCAGCTGCAGTTTTGCAAAATGACGGCACTTGAGATATTTTACAAGAGGAATGAAA